TCAGCACTACCTCAGGAACCTCGGTGCCTTTTGTCATTGTCACCTCAGTAGCTGATCTCAAGATGAACCTGCAGGGACATGATGTGGAAGTGGACGGTGCCTTTGTGGACTAGGGGTTTCTTTCTCCAGAAGTCTTCCTCGTTCTCTATTTATATTTAGTTTATATTTCTACTCTAACAGTTTTTACTATATCCACTATATCCAGCTTAAAGAAGACAGAGGTCCTCCATCAACCTGCACCTCAGGAAGTCCCCCATCATCCCCACATCACCATTGGCCAGTCAGAGCTCAAATCAGTCCAATAGTTTAATTACCTCGGTAGCCTCATCTCCTCAGATGGTAAGATCGACGGAGAGATAGACACTGAAGAACTATGGAGATGATAAATTGTGTTTTTACTAATTATTTTGGAAGTCATTCTTTACGAGGTTGTATTAATAGCACACAGCCAGTTGAAAGAAGCACTTTGTTTCAGAGTTGGGTTTTATTGAGGGAAGCTGCCAAACATGCCTCAGTACTACCTATATAGGACTGCACAAGTATTATGGAAAATGGCTTCTTTGACATTGTTAATAGTATACTTAACATTACAGGAAGGGTTTTACAGGGGATTTCAAATTCTGCATTGATCCTAAAATCAGAAGTAAACAGGAATGCCTGACAAGTGAAAGAATTTCCCTAATCCAAACCACAGTTACCATTCCAGCCGAAACAAAATTTTGTGTTTCATGTAAGAGGCTACTATGAGGAGAACTGAGCTGCAAGGAGATGTATTTTCAATTGACACCTGATAGACAAGATGAACAGAGGTGATCTATTGATAAAAAGTCTTCAGACTGATCACACTCCAGAGCACATACTTTTCTAAAGCAGACACAGAAATGGAAAACGCTAAAAATAAAAGTACGAGAGATTACTTCCTGCTTTCTTAGTGTGATATATTGTTTCTCGTTTACTACAGCATTGCCCAGCTGATCTAATGGCTCTCATATCCAAGCAGAATTGAGCTCTTAGTATTAAATACAACCAAACTCTTGTTTCCAAACTATGTTCTGTATATTACAAATTTATGCCAGGCAACTTTGTAGCGGTGTTTGAACTGGAACAAGGCTGGGAGCTGCTACCAGAAGCAAGTTTGCAAAGCCTTGACCTTGTGCATTCTCTAAAATTATTATACAGACAGAACAACCAAAAAGCTTGATATTGACCTATTTTAGTAGTTTGGCTGAAATACTGTTTATTATAAAATCATTAAGTATTTCTTTTGACAAATTCCTCTTCTCGTTTAAGCAACTTTGCATACATTTTCTTTGTAACTACTAGAAGTGAGTTTAACATTTTATTTATTAACTTTGAAGTGAAACAATTCAGCACATTCTAAACACAGGCCTGTAAAATTAACAGCAGTTTCAAATGTCTCCTCCAAAGTGTTTTATAATTTTTTTCAAATACAGTTGTTGAACTTTCCCTATGAAAATATGCTAAGATAATAAGCTGTAGAAAAAACACAAAAAATTATATATGCTAAGTAAAGATATGCTAGAGTCTAAACAGGTAAAATGTGAGCAATCCTAGCCTAGGCAAGATACTGAAGCTCTGGGAAAGTTTCTGCTTTTGTTCCTAGTATAATTGTTTAGGGTAGAGTTTTCACCTCTCCTCAATTATTTACCTGTCAGACTAGCTTAATTTGGTTTTGCTTCTCAGTTTCTGAAAACTAAGTGGAATTAGCTTCTATGTACAATCCGAGACACATTCCTGGAATAAGATGAATGTGAAAACTTTTTGGAGTCTTATCAACTGTGACTTGCCATGTTAGTATTGTCATTACAGGCTGCTAGCTCTTAGCAATTACTGGCGATTGATGAAAGCAACCATCCTGGTAAAACCTTTGAGGTCTCCCCAAAGATTTATTTGCTGTATCCCAAGTCTATCTTCCCTTTATCCAAAACAAATGTTATTTCAATTATTTTGCCTTCAACTGCTAAGGCAGAAAAATCAGGGGCGGGAGAAAGGGTGTAAGCAGAGAATGAAGATTTTCTGCTGAAAAAAAAAATGGCCCTGTTGTGTAGCAGCATTTTCCACTTGCTTGTGTAACAACAGCGGGGGGAGCAAGTGCTGTTCAGGGCTCTTCCCCAAATCACTGGTCCCACAATGATGGTTGGCCTCTTATTGCATATTCCATACCGCAGCAGCCTAAGATGCAAAGAAAGACGAATGGAAAATTGCAGAGGAAAGGGAGGAAAAGAAATAACAAGAGAAAAGGGAACTGTTCATCTTGTACTGGAAAGGAAGATAACAGCAGGAGAGACAGGCCACAGAAATGCTCCTATAATTTCTGCTGCCAGGAAACATTTCAAAAATATCCAGCCACTGAAAACCTTTCCTTGATGGAAACCAGAAACATCTTCCTTTTTGTGACATTCATACCACATCCAGTAAAATAATTTATCAATTCCCAAGTCATGTTAAAACTACAGTAAAGAGTACCATAAAGCAAAATGAGAAACAACTAACAGTGACATGCTTACTGAGATCTTTTTGGGTTTTTATGCAAGTCAGATCAATACATAATCTACACATATTCCTAAATTGTTACAAAGGAACTATTGCTTGGTAGTAATGAAAACCACAACACTTTACAGCCAGTTGAATGTTCAAAGACCACATTACTGTTCTACCAGTGGGGAGAGTAGCTTTGAAAAAGATGCCAGGGAGACTCCCCTTACCTTGTGATTTTTTTTTATTGCAGCTGTGCCTAGAATGGGTATGTCATACATGTCTGTTTGTCTTCAAACTGGTATAAATGAACCACAATCCAACGTGGACATTGTTTCTCTTTAGGCAAGCACATACTGGAGGAAAACCTGGACACTTTTTCTCAGTTAGTGAATGTGGTAACTGAATGAGGCCAACTACCAAATCCAGATTTGGTGAGTGCCCAAGTGACTGTGGTGAATTGTCCATCTCCACTTGCATGTCTGAGTCGTACATCTCTCCGCCTCATGTGAGCTCTCCGAACTGAAACTCCATTTCTCACAGGACTACCAATATTCCTTAACCTTATGTCCCCTGCCCTCTTCATAGAATTTTTCCCCCCTTCTGTGTATGTCCTGCAGTGGCAGGACAATGTCCTTGGGATGCATCATATTGACATTTTTGAACAGTGTAGACACTCATCTCCCTGTGGCCCAGTTACACCTCCAGGTGTCACTGAGTACATTCAGTCATGGTACACGTAGAAGCTGGAACATCCTTACAAACATGAGAATAGCACACGAAGATAGTCGCCTGAAAGAAAGTGCCCCATTGTCTGAAAAAGAAAGGTAGCTCTTCCCTTTTCAAACCTATTTAAAGGTGAGTCACGCTGATCTAGCAGTGAGTCAGGCTGCGGAAGACAGAGATTTCTCCCCCTTGGTCTGAATACTGTGCTCTAATCACAAGCCACTAGGTCATTTCAGTAGCAATGGATCACACCTTCCATGCTGCAGCTGAAAATCTTGCTAAGCCTCTTTAGTATCCGATGAATAGGTTTGCTTCAGTAGTTCTTCCACTCTGCACAGCCCCACAGAGCAGCAGAAATACACTACAGCTTTGCAAATAAAGTTTAGGCTTGTGCTTTCCACTGCTCTGTTCGCATCTGTTCATCCACTGTCATTTTCTTGGAGAATATTGATAGAATAGTTGTAAACAGGTGAAAGCAAATTGGAAGGATTAGTCTTGAAAGGGTTCTAGTCCTCTAGTTTAAACAGAGATAGGCTCAAGGCCACCAGAGGACAAGTTTATGTTGTAACAGGTCTGTTCAGAAAGATAAAGCAAGGCTCCTTGGTTATACATCAGGAAGATGTATATACAGTTAGAAGAGTGCTGGCCCTACTATTTGTGTGCCACATTATGTGGTTTTGTGTTTCAGCAATTCAAAACAGCTGTGACTGTGATAAAAATGATCTCATGGGTCTTACTTCCTATGTTCACTTTGAATTTTCAATCCAGCTTTGAAAGAGATCTGGAATACATCAACTACTGATATTATGATCTACCTTCTTAATGACCAACAAACAGGACACCAACCACTGAGGAAGTCATTAATTGTATAGGTCATTCTTATTCACCGGAGGTGTAACTTCTTTATGTACAATCACTGTAAATAACCACTTTAAAACTTAGTAAATCACCTTGCTGACTGCTGAAAAGGATTTACCTATGGCTGGAAGTGCCCAGATGATATTCCAAGCTGTTAAATGCTACACTTCTAGTTAAATTATATTTCTTTCTCTTTGACCATATTTATTGCTCTTTTACACAGGAATTAGAAAAGGATAATTTCAACTTCTCTTTTTATCCCCCACCTCATCACACAATTAGATTTGTAAACACAAGGAAGACATCTGTGTGGATTTACTCTTGCTTCAGAAAGCTTTCCTTCTAAACGTTGTCAAACTATTACAAGAAGAAAGTGTGGACCTGGCATATGGACAGTGCTGGTTTCCAAACTCAATGAAATCTGTTCTCGTAGACATAGAAAAGATGCTGCAATAGTGTAATGTGTTTCTTTCCTTCAAAGAACTGGTACACTGCAAGTTTACATTTCCATTATTTATTAATACATACTGTCCCCACCATTTATAAAAAATAAATATAAAAATTAAGAAAACATTCTTGATATTTTACAGCTCAATAGAGGAAGAAGTTATTCTAGAATGTAAATATCTGTAATATTAGTTATTATAATAACTAATTTTCCTTTCAGGACTTTGACCTTCTGTCAGTCAAGCAACTTGGAAATTGATGGGAACTGTGTCTTTAAAACTGAGGAGAGATTCTGGCATACCAGTGATTTTAAAAGAAAACTGGACTTGCTCAAATACAATGCTTCTGAAAAATCTTATTTTTTTTGGTGATAATTTACTAACTAAAGTATGACTCTGTATCTTCTATAAATAGAACATCATTATCAAGATACTCCAGAATTATATTTCCTCCATTGTACAGTGGACAGTCTTTATCAGACAGCCATGTTTCCAATGTATGTTCAAATGGCAAGGCTTCTCCAGAGACAGTATGGCATAATCTCAATTTCTGTAAGACAAACAGCACAGAAATTAACATCAAGATTTGCCTATCCGAGATGAAAGACATGGGGTGGAGGAGAGAAAAAAGGCTAAAGAAAACTAAAATCAAAATGCAATAACCTGGAAAATGTTAGTTATTACTGATTTACCTGGGATGTTGATTTGTTGTTGTCATTTTTAAGGCTTGCTAAGGAAGCTGCAAAATCTACTACTTTGCCAACACTCCACTTACTGCAAAAGAACATAGGTTTGCTTTTCTCTTTGTTCCCCTTTGGTAAAAACACTTGAAAGTAAATTCTTTCTGTCTAGAAAAACATGAAAAATAAAACAAAATTATTCACAGAAGAAACACGTAATTCCAGTCATACACATCTAACAGTTTTTCAGTAAAAAGCTTAAACTTCAGCCCCAAAATTACCAACTGAAACTTGTTCTATTCCATCAGGACCATTTTACTGCAGAATATAAATGACTGAGAGACTGAGATCATCAAATCCAACCCTCTCCCGCTGCAGGCACATATATGATGGACTGCAAGTCTAAACGGTGAAGAGAACATCTTTTGCCATGAGTCCCACAGCTACACTGTTATATACAGACAGACAGGAAAAGGTGTCTGCCCTGGGGAGAAAAAGGTGAGTTTAAATCAGCAGTACTGGCTTTTGGCAGCAGTACAGTGTCTCGAATTGGAATGCAAATTCCCTGAACTGGAATCCGGTCATAGTCAGCTAATCCTTTACCTGGTTTTCCTCCTTTTATGTACTAAACACTCTTCCTCCTAGACTGAAATATTTGTTTAAGAAATTTCAAGAGTAACCTATAAGAGAGAGATTTTGAACAGGACTGGGACAATCTCTTCTTCAGGTTTATTTCAAGAAAAGACATAGAGCAAGCACGACTGCTACATTCATCAGGTAGGACTGCCCTTGCTGAAGCCAAGCCAGACACTATCAAACAAGACAGAAGTCTCTTTTTAAAGGTTTTATTTATGCCTTCCCTAGAAACGTATGGAACTACCTCAGCTATGTTCATAAAGCTGAGTCTGAATTTCAACCTGTGCATTTTCCTCGAAATTTGAGTGTGCTTGAGAAAATCTTCAACATCCATTAATATTACAAAGGGGCAAAGGAAGCAGGACCTGAATCTTGCTCAAATGTAAATGACCAGAACTTGTAGAACAGCCAACACAACAGCCCTCCTATTATGGACACATGCTAACATCAATCAACTGCTACCTGTGCCTCAGCACATTCCTAGTTCGTCCTCCAGTTCTAAGGATGATAAAATAGTTTCCCACCGTTCACAGGAACTTAATTCCCAAAGCAGTTCATTCTACTGTTGCATCCCTGTAACTACAGGATATGCCTTCTGGAATTTCTCTGTCATATTCAAGAAAATACTGATTAATCAGGGACACAATGACTAACAGTTTTGCAGCATGGCCCTCCTGTTTTGAGCTGGTCAGCCTCCAGAGGGATAACGCTCATCAGGTCCGACATCAAAAGAAGCAATCATTGGCAAAAAGCTTATCTAAACAAAGAGGCCACAGAAATGATATTTCTAAGATTGGAGGATTTTCCTGAACATAGAATAAGAAAGGTCAGGAAGGATGCTCTGGTGTCACATGGTCCAAAATCATGCTCAAATCAGGGGGAAATTTAAAGCTGGACCTGACTGAAAAGGTTGGTAAGAGGTTGCTCCAAGTCAGATTCAATCAAGTCGTGAACATCCCAAAGATGTAGATTCCACAAATTTTCAGAACAGCTTGTTCCAAAGTCTGACCATCCTCACCGTGTGGTTTTTCTTCCTAATACCTTAACTGGAATTTCACACACATTGCAGCCTGTGCCCATTGCTCCTGTCCTTTTGCTGTGCACCTCTAAGAAAAATGTGTCAGTCCTCTCTACATAGTGATGAGAGAACTAATATGCCTAACAGGCATTTCAGAAACCTCATATTTAAAAAATCTGTCATCAAAATAGAACAATCTGGGCAGAAAAAGGCTAAAAGGAGTCTAGGAAGCAATGTAAATAGAGAGGTGCTAAAGGTTAACATGCTTAATTTATCAGTGTTAGAATTATTGCTCTTCTAGATGATTAAACAATTAATATCCAAATGAAAAAATTGCTGGTAAGAGAAATTATCATACAGTAATTTGTGGTACACTATTTAGTTTACTGACTTTAGAATTAGGAAGGAACTTTAAATTTTTTCTTATATAAATTGAGAGTGGTTTTTAAAATTATGTTCCACAATATTTGAAATTACTCACTTTCCCTCTAGCCCACATTTATTACAGTGGTACTACTAGTGAAGAATGCTACCAGCAGGTCTTTGTATTATGACATCTTCCTAAACAGTTATGTGGTTTCTAAACAAGTATAAAGAAAGAAATTCATAAGAAGACTCAGCAATCAAATAGGTGTTGTTGCTTTTTTTTTTTTTTGATACTTAAATTCCAGTGTATCTGGAATTCCAGGGTATCTGGAAGTGTTATGGCTGCATTGGATGGGGCCCTGGATGGTGACATGGTGGAAGGTGTCCCTGCCCATGGCAGTGGGTTGGAGCTAGATGATCTTTAAAGTCCCTTCCAACCCAAAGCATTCTATGATTCTCTGATGTTATGACATATACTCTACTAGGAGAAACCCTAATAATAATACCATCATATAGAATGTTTTCAGTATTCTAAAAACCAGTATAAGAGGCTTAAACTTGGTGTGCTCCAACATAGCAATGTGGTGAAAAACCAATTTAAATACAGTTGTTTTAAGAGGATGCATAAGTACAGATCTAAAGTGAAACCCCTGATGAAAGAACCAAGGTGTTTCTAAACCCAGCATAGTCTTGGCAAGTGAAAATACTTGAACACCAGGTGTGACTGACCTTGATAGTGAAAAGCAATAAGGAATATGTGAAAAACTACAAGAATCAAAGAAAGTAAAGGCTTCATGGTTTGTCTACCGAAAAATTACAGTTGCTAGTGAAGGAAGGAGAAAAGAAGGAAAAACTACCCACATCTCTACCTAGTACCCCTTCCATAAATGGAAACCCCTTTAAATCACAAAGATATCCTGACTTATCTCTCCTATTAGAGAGCAATATCAGGAAAACTAGGCAAAGGGATCAGACTGGCGGAGGTACAAGTGGCCCTACTCTCTGCCACTTGAGGACTGAGTCCCATCCTTTAGGCCATAGTAAACAATAAAGACTGATTTCTTCATGGATAGTGGAGCACAACTATTCATTATTAAAGCAGAATCCTGTCCTGGAGCTATCCCACTGAAACATCAGAAAATATTAGTAACTTGAATAAATGGAGCTTTTTATTCAATTGCTAAGGTAAAATTAGAACTTACTTTTGTCTCCCTCTGTCCCCCAAAAATAGCAAATGCAACCAGGAAACCTAAATAAGTTTGGTATGGATATTCTGTGGGCTGGATTCAGAGCAACACCAACTGGGCTACTGAAACAACTGATGAAGAAACAATGCTAGGGCCCCAGATGGGAGGTCACCTTTTTGGGGGATGAAATGGATTGTGGGCAGTAAATAAGTCCTCTGGTCCACTTGGCAAATTGATTATGTTGGACTTCCCCCCTGAACACCCAAGGGTGGTGTTATATCCTTAGTGGCGTTAAAATAATGAAGTTTTTCTTGCTGGAAAGCTGATGGTTTTACCACTCTGGCAGGATTTGATCTATGGTTTGCTGACACTCCCACGCCCTCTGCTGTGCAGTTTAATAATGGCATTCATGAAAAAAAATTTAAAAATCCAGGAATGGTGTGAATACGATGGAGTTGTCTGGGTCCAGTTCCACCTGTCCTACACACCTCAAAATAACGGTGCAGTTGAGAAGTGGAAAGGTCTTCTAAAATGAGCTTCAGGGTAAAGTTTACATAGAGGAAAATGCAGTAAAGTCCTACTTAAATCTGTTTGATGCTTAAATAGGCAGATACCCACCAGATGCCTGGTAGAACAAGCTCATTTTCTTGCTCTTTAACCCATAAAATGCCTAAACTTCCCCCTGTCACCCCATTCTTTTTCTCAGGGTAACAATGTTCTTATTAACTACCCTATGATGGTTAAAATATCTGTCACTTTAGTAACTCCTTGAGTAAACAGCACATGGAAAACTTTCTAAATGCAGACTCCCTTTAACTTTCACTGAGGTTTGGATAGTTCCCAAGAATGAGAAATTTCTTAATGTTTTAGGTAATGAATGATACTTGGTCAGATTCTTTAGCCTGAACAAACCTGGAATGTGCCCAAGGAATCATGACTTCACCTTCATAGAACCCTCAGCTGTAAAAAGATAACACAATACCCACTGTACTTTAGTGACCTTATTTGTTCCTCCTTCCTCTCTGTTTCAAGAACGAGATGATAATCGTGTCATTCAGTTTATGAAGTTCATTTCTCAAATGGGTTTTTTACACATACAAATTGTGTAACACCCTGAATCTTCAGGTGCTAATTCTGGATGGGTAGCTGAACCTGCTCCTGAAACACCTTGGTACCAACCTAAGTTGGAGTACTCACTCCCCAACCCTCAAAATTATCAAACTCAAACTTCTAAGAACGCATGGTGCACTGCAAATGCCCCAACATATAAATTCAGTCTGGGTGGGAAAACCAAGCAATTATGTTTCCAGTCTAGACGATCACTCAAATATTAAAATAGCAAGCCAAGTATTAAGATTTGACCCAATGACCCAATCTGCAGAGGGTCCAGGTGATTAGGAACCACAAGCAGCTAAGATGTGCTATACAATTCTGTGCTATGCTCTACTCTAATAATAAAATTCTGATGATCATCAAATTCTGTTAAAATAATAAAGTTTTAGTGCAACTTAGTGCTGTCATCATTCTGCCAAGGAAAAGAACCTGTCTGTCCCCACAGTGTTGGGTGACAGCCATGTAGCGCAGGACAATACATTTCTACTATAAAATAAAAAAATTTGACCCAAACTCCATACAGACATAACACACATAAGACTAGTCAGATTGCTTTTGGGGACCAGGCTGAAATATATATGTGATTGTAGGATTTAAAAATTAAATCCAAAACCAAACTGAGGGAACTAGATGAAGATCAATGAATTTAGAAAATTTTCCATTTCCTTTGAGAATTCAATTATTGAAAACAAACATCACTGACCTGAGGCAAGGACTTGTCCCCACATGCATGCATTTTCAGTTTCATTAATGCCACTTTTGCTGCAGTCTCACTGTTTTTTGCTCCTTTGCGTTTTTTGCTTTTTGCTTCCTCACTTTTTTTAGAATCTGAGAACAATATTATTCCTGTTAGTGTGATGATTCAGACTGTTTCCTGAACATATCTTAGAATTAGCCTGTTGGGCCTCATTGTATCTCCAAGGTTCCCATCCCTTTCATGTCCCTTCATGTCCTCCCAAGGTCATCTACCAGATACTTCTATTCAAGAATATTTGGAATTGTTACAGTTCTAGCAGAACTCCTTTACACTGAAAAGTAGATGAACATTATCATGATGTACAGACAGGCTGCAAAAGCCAAATAGATATAAATTCAAAAATTTCAACAGCTGTGGCCAGCACAGCATTCATATGACAACAGCTTCAGGTCCTCCCTTCTACAAAATCTCACTGCCCGATTGGGCAGTTTTGTTTATTCTCTTTCCCATCCTAGAACTTGTTTAAAATCTGCAAAATATAACATTATAGAGTCAATTTTTTTTTTTTGCCATTTTGGTTGTGTAGGTATAATCCTAACAGATTGGCATGCACACCCAACGCAGTTGCATTATTTGCACATGAATCAATATGTAAATAATAATGACTAGGTACAGTTCATTACATTATAGTATTTGTAGAATAAGAACAAGATAATGCTTCTGAAAGAAACTTGAGCCCTATTTAATCTTTAAAAATTCTCTTCATACAGTTGCCTTGTCTCAGCATAGATGAACAGTATTACATGTGACATGAGTTTAGGGCTATTTAACCAAGGAACCCCTATCTTTTTTTATTTGGTTGAACCTGACCCCTTCAAAGGAGGTCAGAAGTTCTGAAGAAAACTGCAGAATACATATCCTGCTGTACTTGCCTATAATATGTTTAACTAGCTGCTGGGTAGCAGCCATTCGAGGTTTTGGCGTGTCCAGCTTTTCACATTCATGGTCTGATTGATGGCGATGTCTGTAAACAACAGCATAAAACTTTTAATACCTTTTCCATACACTAATGAATGAGTATTGATGTTTAAACACCTTGTTCCACACACCTTAGACAAAAATGTTTTCCACAGTAGGGACATAAAACTGGTAAAAGCTCCTTTCCATTGCAGTCCTTGTATGAGCACGGATAAGACCTGTGCTGATCAGGTTTCACAGAATTGTTTCTTATATTCACCTAGGCATTAGTACAAAATATTTTGTGTAAAGAAACAGATACTACAGATACAAGTCACCACACACCTTTCCCAAAGAACTGGCCTAGCTCTCCATTCTATTCTCCTACTTTTGTCCTGGTTATGTTTAGCTCAGAGTTAGAAATAGAACCATCATTCTACTCACACTCAATTTACTTCTGAGAGGCAGAAAAAGAGTAGATTAATTTTTTTTAAGCTTTTCACATTCACAGTTAAATAATGCATACTTATATATGTATTTGTCTAGTCTGAAAACACACAGCTAATTTTAAGGCAGGTCATATATTATTAGATTACCTCAGAACATCCATGAGCATCTCGGCTCCTGTGCTGAAGGCTTTGTGGAAAAAGAAGAGACATTTCAGGAAAAGAAAACCATATGTGAAAACATTCAACTATTTAAAGAGTGATCTGACTACTTTTATCATGGCAACACTTTAATTAGATAACGAATCTTCTACAAAGTTTGTTCTAACCTCTGCATTTCACGTCTTGGATGACTGACTGATCATACTCTTCCTCAGTTTGTAAAACATTTAGCTCTTGGAACTTATACCTCAAGAAAACAAGCCACTTCAAGAGAATAAAGACATTAATATGCTTAAGAATTCAGCTCGAAGCAACTCGAGTTTGTCCATTTTAATGGATTTTCAATCACCATCCACAACAGCAGAAATCCCTTGAGGGCTTACGACGTTTTAGAAGTGAAATCTGCCCTCAGTCTACCTGAGTTTAACTCAGTTGCCCTCTGCCTATCTGAAGTGTAAATCAAAGTGCAGGCCCCAATTTCAACCTTGGAAGAAACTTCAAATCTTTTTCTGGAACTAAAAATACCCAGCCACCTCCTTTTATGACAAGGCTACTCATCGAGCTGACCTTGGGAAGCCCATAGATGTGCTGTTTTGCATTTCAGCAAAGCTTTTGACACTGTCTCTCACAGTGTCTTTCTGCACAAAACATCCTGCACACAGTTAGGAAAGTCCATAATACGATGGGTGGCTGATGGTTTGGGTTCAAAGAGTTCAAAGAGTTATAATAAATGCCATTGCATCAGGTTGGCGGTCAGTCACCAGCACAGTTCCCCAGAGCTCAATTTTAGGGCCAGTGCTCTTTAATTTTTTATAAATGTCCTGGACACATGTTAAGTTTGCCAACAACACTAAACTAGGAGTAGCTGTGGAGCCCTGGAGGGTGAAGTGTTATAGACAGATTCTGGATAAACTAGAGACCTGGGCAGTCACCAACTGTATGAAATTTAACAAGAGCAAGTGCAGGATTCTTCACCTGGGATGAGGTAATCCTGGTTATACGTACAAACTGGGGGATGAGAGGCTGGAAAGCAGTCCTGCAGAAAGAGATCTCTGGGTTTGGGTCGATGACAAGTTGAATATGAGCCAACAATGTGCCCTGGCAGCCAAAAGGGCCAACCATGTTCTGGGGAACACCAAGGACAGCATTGCTGGATGGCTGAGGGAGGCGACTATCCCAACTGTACAGTGCACTTGTGTGGCCTCACACAAGTACTGTGGGCAGTTCTGGGTGCCACAATATAGGAAGGATGTCAGACTATTAGAGCGTGTTTAGACAGTGACCAAGATGGTGAAAGGCCTCAAGGGCCAGACTTGGGAGGAAAACTGAGGTCACTTGGTTTGTTCACCTTGGAAAAGACCAGACTGAGGGTGACCTCATCGCAGCCTACAGATTCCTCAAGAAGGGCAGCAGAGCAGAAGGTGCTGAGCTCCTCTGGTGACCAGTACCAACACGGAAAGAAGCTGCATCATGGGAAGTTCAGGTTGAACATGAGGAACAGGTTTTTCACCGAGAGGGTGGCTGGGCACTGGAACAAGCACCCTAGGGAAGTGGTGACAGCACCAAACCTGTCAGAGTTCAAGGAGTGTCTGAATGACACTGGTTTAGTTTTAGTCCTGTGCAGAGCAGGGAGTTGGACTTGTTGATTCTTATAGGTTCCTTACAATTTGAGGTACTCGAACTTACCAAAAGACACCTGAACAGCCATCACATATAAAGGGGAGAAAATCTGAAACAAAGAGATTTGTTTTCAGTTAGACAACACAATTTTTGTTTTGCTAGTAGTTTCTAGGTTAATTTTCCCATGATTAACTTTTGCTTATCTATATCATAGGGTAGGTATCTTTACAAGGATATTTAGCAATTGCATATGCTTTACCTAAAAGTGTCTTTTGTGACAGTTACACTGTTAACTCCCCTAATCAGTAGAACAGAAAAACATATGACTAGGTAAATTATACTTACATACATTCCAGAAGTTGGAATTAGGCTTTAAATTAAAATTTTTTAAAATATCAAACTATGACACTGGAACATTTGGCTAGCCATTAAACTTACCAGTTAGTTATTTTAAAAATGTAATTTATTGTGAGACCACTTAGAATACAATTTTCTGACAGAGGACAATTTACATTTTTATTTTACAGGTTGCCAACTGGTGGAAGATGGCTCTTTGAAAGGGATAGCATCTTCTTCATTTGACAAGGCATGATGATCCTGCCCCTTCTTCTCTAGCCTTCATATCATAGCATACATACCATCCTTGTAATTTAAATTGCACGTATGTACACACCCCCTGCCTACTGCATCAGTTCTTAGAGATAAAATCACTTTGTTGTTTGCTGAATTCAACCACATCACCAATGGCAGCAAATGCCCTCTACTCTAGCCCATTACTCCGCGTCTCCATCCTTCAGATTTGATGTTAAGGGACCACCATGCAACTGGATTACAGAGCTCAGGTCACGACGATCTCAGTCACTTCATCCCTAAGACCGAGTGGTCCCATCAGAAAGCTTTCGGTACAGGGGGTTTTGCTGCCTCCTTCTGAGAGATTACATTTTCAGTGACACTTTCCGAGATCATCGAAGGCAAGCACGGAGGAGGACCGGGAAAGCAGGGGATTAACCACCCAGGGATACAGCAGAGACGGCAGACCCTGGCACTGGGCCGCGCAGGGCTGCAGCAGCACGGAGGACTCCCCGAGCGGGGAGAAACCACCACACAACCCCCGCACCGCCCCGGCTCACCACCCCCGCCTCCGCCGTGTTCTCCCTTACCGAGCTGGCGGCAGTCGGGCACCCCGCAGTGCTGCCCCAGCTCCAGCTCCGCCATGGCCGCGGGACGCAGGAGGCGGGCGGGGAGGTGGAGAAGCGGCGGCGACGGGCGGGGCCGCGCTGGGGAGGGGCCGGCGAGACCCGCCTCGGGGCGGGGGATGCTGAAAGTCTGCCCGCCCGCTCGGAGCTGTAGCTTCTGCTGCGCCGGGCTCAGCTGGTTTCGGAGGCTCGGTACGTGCCGGGGCGCCGGCAGAGGTGGCTGCTGCGCCGGGCTTGGCGGACTCTGCGCTGACCAGGCCGTGTCGGCGCTTCAGACTTCAGTGAGCCCAGAGCCGCGGCTGGTGCTCCTCGGGCTGTTACAGGGGAAAACATGTCTTGTGTCTTTCTTCTGTCGCTGTTTGCGTCGTCGCTCGGAGCAGGGCCTCTTCCCGAGGCGGGTGGGAGGCAGCCCGGCATTCCGAGGCGCTTCTTGCATCCTGTGACCTGCGGTGTCCTTTAGCGGCGCACCCGCCATTTTTGTAAAAAGCCATATTCCTTCAAAATTCAGTGTTATTTTCCCAGCCTTGACCGGCGTGCACGCCTGTGCCTTAGTGCGCTGCTCTCCCAAAACGCACCTTCAGTTGCGGCATGTGTCCAGTTCTGGGCCCCTCAGAAGAAGAGAGACATGGAGCTCCTGGAGCCGATCCAGTGGAGAGCTACAAAGGTGATCAAGGGACTTGAGCATTTCTCTTACGAGTAAAGGCTGAGAGAGTTAGGCTGAGGAAGAACTCTACTGTGCAGGTGACCGAACACTGGAACAAGTTGCCCAGAGAGAATGTCTCGCTGGAGACATTCAAGAACCGTCTGGACACAATCCTGTGCTCTAAGATGACTCTGCTTGAGCAGGGAGGTTGGACCAGATGACCCACTGTGGTCCCTTCTAACCTTACCATTCCGTGATTCTGTGACACGGGGAAAAAATGGGGGGGAAACACAAACTCGGCAGCCGCCTCCGCAGCGGGGGCACCACCCTCCCGGCCCGGGTCCCTACGGCTGCCCCGCGGAGCTCCCCCGCTCCTCCTGCCCTGGCCCGAAGGTGGCGGAGGGCAGCGGCAGCTCGGCCTCCCCGGGGCCGCCCCCGGGACCGCCCCGCCGCCAGGTGCGGTGCCGCCAGCCCTGGGCTCAGGAAGTGCCGTCACGGCTTGTGCCGGCCAGGGAGGTTTCTGCGGGCCGGGCCGGACCAGCTAGACCTTTCCGTCGGCGGTCGCCGAACCGGGGTCGCCGCCATGAGCAAGATCTCCAGGTTTTTCAAGGGGGGCGGCTCGGCCGCCTCCAAGGGCCGCGGAGGGCCTTCGCCGCAGGAGGCTCTTGCCCGGCTGCGGGAGACAGAGGAGATGCTCAGCAAGAAGCAGGAGTACCTGGAGACGCGGATCGAGCGGGAGCTGGCGGTAGCCCGGCAGCACGGCACCAAGAACAGGCGAGGTGAGTGCGAACCGGACCCCGCTGCCCTCCGCCCCCGCCGGGCTTGCGAGGCTTTAAATCCCAGGGCTGGAGCGCCTCTGGGTCCTGGGGTCTGTTCGGAACGAGGGACTCGGGTCTCGCCGAGTCCGTGGCAGGGCCGGGTCAGCTGACTCCGCAGGTGTGCAGTGTGAGTCGGCTCTGGGCTCCCAGCAAATATCAACACACGCGAGGCGGGATGGTCTTTGGCATCTGTTAGTGTTTAGTGTACTGTGGATTCATTATGGTGGGGTGGTAATAGGATGCTTTATTCCTCACTAATTTACTGTCTGTGGCTCCCTATGCGATACACGTGCTTTGCACCGCAGTGGATGCATGTGTCGGCTGGATACCTGGGACGCAAAATACTGCTGCTTAGTGTGGGGAGGGGATCACAGCTTGGAGATTGAGTATTGGTTGGGCGGGTGGAAAAGGAGCTGAAGGATGTGAGGATCTCCTGTATTCATGAATAAATGCATGTTATCCCCACTGGTGGCAACTGAGGAACAAAGTGATTCAGTGATTTGCCTCAAATCATGTAGGATGTACATGATACAACCAAAAAAATGAATGATAGTTTAGAGCATTAGTGACTACTGGTCCGGGCTGCTGTTAGCTGCGAAAGAGAGATAGTAAGGGGTAATAAGGTCTGGCTTCTGCATGTACAGGTGTTCTCATCTCTGGGAAGCAAATGATGGTAGTCAATGTCTTGGGGATATAAAGGGCTTTGAGAAACAGATTAATTACTTCCTGAAGTCAACTAGAGGCCCGTTTGTCTCCTCTGAGATGTATTTTTCTTTAAATGCTTTGAAACAGAAGAAAAATTAGAATTAAAGATTTCTGATGTAATGACAAGGTAGCTTTTTGTCTGCTCTTTCTGTTATTTAATAATTTAAAAAATAATGCCATGTAACTTAGAACTTGTGAGGACCTGCATGTTAGAAGTGTTTTGGTTAGCCCTATAATGTATTTGTAATACTTTAGCATTTAACAAGTATTAGCAAAAAGCCATTTAACTTAACTAACTTTTAGTTACAAAGGATTTAAAATCACGGGTCAAGATGGGACAGGTTTGAAGGTACAGTCAGAGGGAGTAAAGCCAGTTGAGCAGCACATCTGAGCCAGGTACTCTGCAGCATGGGAGCTGTCAGGGTTGTCACAGTCCCACACTTTTCTACTCCCCTGGCTTCAGCTGGAGTGTCTCTATGCTGTTGCAGTGAGCTAGTTCAGGAAGGTGATCCAACTGGAAACTAATTTGCTATGGGACAAAGTGATTGGGTTGCTCCTGAGGCTGAGTTCATTGTGCAACAGCCCAAGCTGGAGATCTGATGCAAGAAAACAGGCTGGTCTTTTGACTGTAGAAATTCCTGGTTAAATCCAGGCATGCAGTGTTTGATATCTGAAAATTTTCTTCCAAATCGTTTTTTGCACTTCTGTACTCAATATGCAATTCCCCTGTTTTTTAATCTATGAAATTGTTCATGGAGTGGTGCTGCAAAGTAGATTGTTGAGCTGATCATAGTTAAAAATAACTCCCTTTTATCTTGTCAATTGCTCAGGCACCAACAGTTAAGGACAGTAAAGAGGCAGGAGTAGGGCACAAAGTGCAGTTTGGCACTGCAAAAAGTGCCACTTTTTGCATCCATGCAAAAAGTGGTTCTAAAGCCAAAATGAGATAGTGTAAGTACAGTCAGAGGAGAAACGAGATAAACTAACCTTGCTGTGCCAAAGTGCTTGAATTTAGCAGGATAATGAGTGAACTGAAATCTCCAATAATATGTCTTCATTTGATATGTCAGTTGCTTTACAGTTTAATTGCTGTTGATTTACATATAACAGCATAATACATACGATGTATTGTACTGTATAGTTCAGAGAAAATCTGTTCTAACCAGCGTCTGTGTGTATGTAACATTATGTAAACATACACACAAGTGAGAGAATGAAGGTTTTAATCTACATTGCCTTGTTAATGTTTCAAAGGGACTTCACAGGTAATTTTTAATGTGGTGTGGTTTTTTTTTAATTTTTAATTTTAATTTTGGTTTTAATTTTTCTTATTTGCATCTGTGGAGAAGCTTGTGGAAACTAAAATGGGACTGTTTGAGACTGGAGTTAAGATTTCTATCTAGAGATAGAAAATGCATCAAATTAGCATGATCTCATTTGATTTTTAAGTGAGTCTGAGTCAGTAATACTAACACAAGAGAGAGCAGATTCAAGCACCAGCAATTTCTCATATGAGTTCATATGACTCTTGAATGGGTTCATGTGACATCAGTAGGCTTTACTTGATGTAAAAGCTGTAACGTGTTAGCTATGCAAATAGATGTGAAACATCACTTAAATACTTCTGGCTTTTCTTTTATGAAGTGAGTATCTCCGCAGTTCCTGTACCTAGTCTGAAATTGGCTATTAAATACATTTCCAGCATTCCCCATTAGTATCTTATTGTGGCTAGACAGCTTCAGGGTTTTTGAAACAACAGTGTTTGTTGGAATTTGTCCTGCAGAGGTTATGTGATGATAAGGAGTATTTTTTTTCACAGTTAACACTGCCTTTTAATCTCTTCCCATTTCACTCACACTTTTTGTGAGTGTTTTGTTTTGTTTTTTATCTCTTGCTGTACTTTTTGGGGTATCTCAGTTTCAGCCAGTACACAGCTGCCAACTCCATCGATGAACTGGCCTTTCTTCTCCATTATTTTGAAGGTCATACAGGAAAAATTAAAGGACAGAAAGTTATACCGGATATTTGAAAACTCTATTTAAAAGGAAACGTATTTTCTGAAGTGCACTAGTAACTGTGAAAATAACGTACATATGAATGTGTGTTGTTTCAGCCTGGAGTCTTTCACAGATACTAAAAAAAAAAAAAATTCTAAATGAAAGGAATAAAGTTAAGAGAAGCCGAATAAAGTTAAGAGAAGCCATCCAGAATAGAATTAAATTTCAACTGTAAAGAACCAGATAGTACTACCGAGGACAAAACCTTTGAAGAAAACTGAAATAGCAAGGAGGGGTTTACAGGTAGATGCTGTGTGTTATGTTCGTGTGTTATGTTTGTGCAGTGCTTATGTAGCCCTGTAGCATTCCTTTTCAAT